GCACGAAGACCGTGCAGTGAATTACCAGGCTGGGAAGGATACTGTAGAAGTTTTTATGCAAATGAGTATCATACTCATGAGGCTGCAACAGTATGGACCAAGACACGACCAACAACTTATAAAAAATTGGTATCAACTGCAACCAATACATGGCGTTGAGCCATGGCCCGCAACCACTGCGTTAATGCCATCCTAGGGCCCCACATGAAGTTCCAGAAGAATATTGCTGGTGAAATTATMCCCTCATTTCCCGAAACTATGATTACGATAGCCCTGTGATGGACTTGCGACCTGGCCAGGGTGTACCCCCGCCCCTCGCACTGTGACTGCTGGATATGGGCACCAGTGACCCACGCAACTCTGAAAAGGAAGAAGCGTGTACAGAAAATGGATGGATGGATGGATGGATGGATGATTACGATAGCTGAGAGTCATGCTTTCAGAAGGGGGCTGTGTCTAGGCCTCGAACAGGAAGGATTTGAGTGGGTAGGCTCAAACCTACTCTATTCTAACCTCACATGCAAATACCCAGAAGAAGTTTGGAAAAAATGTGGGCCGGACTCTGACAAMCACTCCTGTGCATGGTATGAAACCCTGCAAACAACGGCCATCAGAGAGATAAAAACCCTGGCGAAAGGGGCCATTGAAATAGTCACCGAAGGAGCAGGAGCAGTGGAGGAAGGTATGTTAGAGCTGTTGGAAAAGATCTGGCCATACTGCCTGACAGTCCTTGGCATCCTGATTGCTGTTGTCTTGGCACGCCTGGCTCTAAAGGAGTTGTGTGTTAGAGCCCTGCCTCCAAGGAGGGGTGAGCACAAGCCCCTTCCCCAAGTTAGAGAGTAACTGAACCTCTACAAAGCTGAGAGCACATAGCCTCAGTATGCAGTATCGCTATCGCTTTCTTTAACGTTGCAAAGACGCTGCGAAGGCTATGAAGATTCAAATTAAAGTTGGAGACTGGTGGTATGGGGGTAAAAATTGACTGTGGAAGTAGATCCAACCCACCGAGAAGACGTCCTGACAGTTGAGTATCGCAGTCTCCAAGATTATCGTTATCGCGTCTACCCCTCCGTGGACTCAAGAGAAGAGTTCTTGGATTTGTTCTGTGAGGCCTTGAATACTTGGGCCCATGTGGAGTGGCATCGCCAACATGGATTTCGGGACGAACATTTCATGAATTAAGAAAAGTTAACCCCCATCCACAAAATGAAGATTATTGTGAAAAAGAGACAATAGGGGAGAGAGGCTCCGGTGATCACGATGGAAATAGATCCAACTTACACTGAAGAAGTTTTGGTTTTGGATTACCATGTTAGCCGGTACTGGTTCAACAGAAGATATCGCATGTCATCTAGGAGGAATTTGTTGGAAATGACGGCCGGGACAATGAGAATAATCACAGCAAATCAAGGATCATTCCACTACAAAATAAGAGGCCACCATTTTCAAAATTGACTGTAAGGCCAAAAGAGGAATGGTCACAAGCCCCTCCCTCTGAAGGGGGGCACTGGCACCACATAAAACCAGGAACTCATAAAGCCAAGATGACAATTGAACTCCTCTAACAAAGTGAGAAGATGAAGATTACAATAAGGCAGAGTCATTGGCATCCCGATCTAAGCTGGCACTTCAAAGTCTTTTAAATATTTGTGGAAGTAGACACGTCCTGGARAGCGGATGTCTTGTTTGTGGAGTACCCTGAGGTTTTCCTCGCAAAACACATAAGACAACTTCGGCGTTTGTTCCCTTATAATTTCGGTGTGGATAACCGGGATAAACTTTTGGAATTGGTAGTACGTTAGGTACTGCTGTTAGCAGGCCCATACTATACTCTCCCTGACTGGTTGCAGGGAAGAGACTTTCAGAACTAACCGGCCAGATCAAGGAGGGAGGAGGGAACTACAAGCTCCGCCCCTAAGGAGGGCGCTGGTTCCCTATAAAACAGGCTGCGCTGAGACAAAAGAGGAACAACTCCACTGGACCTGGACGGAGGCACAAGAAAAGGAACAACTGCAGCATACCATGGCTACTACCCAGYTGACCACCACACCCGACATAAGTCCCACTTTTAACTCATCCATGCAGCATACCAGCTCACCGAGACCCAGGGATCCTCCCATGGCTGTATCTCCGGTTGAATACTATGCGATAATGTTTGCATGGTTATTTTACTGCATGACGGTGAAATGGACTCTCAAGCAACCATTGAGAATCCTCATCCTGGCCATGTCAATGGGTCTGGTTGCAGTTGGCTGCCTGTTAGGCCGACAAGAAGTCGCACTCTCCCTGTTCGTCTCCTACATCCTGGGGAGAGCAAAGCCACTGCAACCCCGGGCAGCTGCTTTACTTTTCCTATGGTTGCTGATTGAGTTCGTGGTGATAGGCATTGAATGGGTCAGACGAGCACCATTCTCCCGCTTGGCCCCAGAGTACATCATTCTGGTTGTCTGGGAAGGTATGCTGGCCATGAGTGTCATCTTCGTCATCGGTCGAGAAATCTGCCGCATAACATGTGGGAAGATGGCCTGGTTCCTCCGGTTCCTCCGCCTTGCCCTGTGGGACATAGCCTGGGGTGTGTATTCAACCCTATATTGGATGGGGCTGATCAGCGAGTTGTCAATTCTTGCCTGGTTCATGACTTATGCTGCCATCCTCCCTGTGGCTATATCAGCTGAACAAACCTCACTCGAACCGCCTCCTGTTCCTCCAAGAAATGCGCCGATCACCACCCAGCCTTGTAGAGCTCGGCCCCTCCAGCGCTGGGTTAATCCTCCCAATTCGCCTCCCTTCAATGCCTCTCTCTACCAAAATCGCCCCGTCTCAAGACTCTTAACTTTTTGCTTTTTGCTGCACTTAAGCCACATTTTTATGATTTTATGTTTAAATACAACTTATTGTTGCGTCTGGCGCTCTGAGTTGTAAAATGTGTCAGGTTCACTCCTAACCTCCTTCACCCCTGTGTTCTGACAGGTACAACATTGTCATGACTGTGGGAAGAGCTTAAGTTAGTTCCCATACCTCTGGGAATACTCGGGGTTGTGTGGTGCACTCCATGCTACACCTCATACTTTGGAATCCCGGTGGCTACGGCCATCATACTTAGAGAAAAGATCCAAAGCTGCCCCAGAGCTGATTTCTCCCAGAGYCTCATGCTACAGAAGGATGGACAATTGGTCCATTGTGCTCTGCAAAACCCGAGCCTTCCTGAACCCTTTGTGCCTGTTAATTTTCACCAGGCGTGTACCATCCCCCTCATCCAGCGGACCTGGAAATCTCATACCACTAACCGCAAGTATGTCAGCCTTCATACTCCTGATTATGCATTAGTGGATCTGCACATCAACCAACCTGCGGAGGTGGCGAGTACCGTGCAACAGGCCGTGGCCGCTCCACCACACCAGCACATCCTGCCAGGCCCCTCCCCCGATTCCATGACTGATCCTGCTCCTCAGGACGTCATCAATGCAGCATACCCTCCATGACACCTATCTTTTTGCCTGGCTGAACAACGAGCCCAAGGATGTGCTGCGCCAGGATCCTGCACCGGTCCTGGAAACTATCATATTAGACCCACCTTCTCCAACATGCAGCTCGACCATGCCGGCTCTCTCCCCTGCACGGTCTCAGCCGGTGGCGAATACATCTGCTGCAGATAATGCAGCTCTCTCCTCCCACCAGGTCCCAACTGACCTACTGACCCTCTCCCCTGGTCCATCTGATTTTGATCTTGAGCTGGCAGCTCCACACCCCCCTCTGTCTGGTACTAGAGATGCCCACCATCATCGACGTGTGGAAGAAAACCGCCCCCCTTCCTCCATCGAGGCACCTTTGGGCCCACCAGTTGAGGAGGGGAACGTCGAGAAACACTCCCTGCCTGCCCCCTCCGCCTCTCGCCAGCGGAGAGAGACCAACACTGGCAGGACCTCATATGGAGCTGCTGTGGATAGGGCGGTAAAAACTTGGCATCAGCCTAAGGCCGAGGGGTATGAGAAAAGAAACCAGTCAAACAAGATGTGACCTCCCAAGACCCACACTCCCGTCACTCGGCCAGGACCCCCTGCACCTCACCCCGATTATCCATTCTATGTCCCGTCCAAGATCCAACCTTTGATGCCCCCTGCCCATCCTTCGCAGGCTCCTTGGCCTGATTTCAAGGAGAGGGTGTCAAGAAACCTGGCTGTGCCAACCATTACAAGGTTTGGAAACAGGCCGGCAGAGCCACACAGGAAAACACCCTGAAGGTTAATCTTGGACAATATCTGATGATCGACTCTTTTAAATGAAACCAGAGAGCGTTGACAGAGAGGAGAAGGTAGAAATGACTCAGCTTGTAACTGAAAATATGGATGGAGGACAACAGAGCTGCTTCATGGAAGAAGAACCTCAGCTTAGCCTGTTAGCTTTAGCGTTATCCCCAACACTATCACCATATACATGTATTAGCTCAGCGCTACACATTCTCTTCTCGTCACAGAGGTCCTCCATCTACATGACAGAGAGGGGAACACAAAAATGACAGCCTGTAACTGAAAATATGGATGGAGGACCTCAGTTTAGCTTGTTTGTCGCGCTAGCGCCGAGCTAATACATATAAGACAATAAAGCATCAGTGCTAGCACAAAGACTAACAGGCTAAGCTGAGGTTCTTCCATGAAGCAGCTCTGTTGTCCTCCATCCATATTTTCAGTTCCAGGCTGAGTCATTTCTACCTTCTCTCTGTCAACGCTCTCTGGTTTCATTTAAAAGAGTCGATCATCAGATATTGTCTAAGATTAACCTTCAGGGTGGATATAGCTCGCTAGCAGCCTCGCACTGAGGACCTATCCACGTCATCATTTACCCAGAATGCTTTGCATGTAAATAAAATGGCTCCGTCCGTGTTAAAAATATATTTTTTTAAATTTACAAAACTAAACATCCTACAGTATTTTTACAGTCTTTATTTTACAGTTAAAATACATGTTTATCAAATAAAGTCTAATGTTACAACTAGTCGGGGATCGCTTTAAAACACTTTTTATTATTTATGACTGAAATTAAATGGGGACATGATGTTATAACCTGTAGAACTGCTACAACTTGCTGGTATAAATCCACACAGTGATTTCAGTTATTTGTGTTTCAGAGGCAGAGAAGAAGAGATGTGTGTGGTCTCAGTGCTGCAGACCCCTCTAAGGCACAGAGTGCTGTTTCAGTCGTCAGTGCTGCGGGATCAGGATCCAGTTTGTTAAGACAATCCTGTTAACCGTTCACTCACTTCCCACAGCTTCTTGGCCAGGGCGTCGTCTCGCCCCCTGGCTCCCACCTGCTGCAGCGCACAGTTAGAGAAGTACCGCCCACTGAGGGGCTCCAGGCCCTCCTGCAGAGCGCAGTGCAGGGTGGTCTGAGAGCCCGCTTCAACGTCCAGGAAGAAGAGCTTGACCAGTGGAGTGACGAGGAGCTGCTGCCACCAGCTCAAACTGCGACCTATTTCTGTCCGGATGACTCCTGAAGAAAAACAGATAATCCAAGCGTTAACTCCTAAAACACCTTTAGTTTCTACCTCAGCGTCAACAAGCTCTGACCTGGGTGCAGACAGAAGCAGCTGACGTTGGTTCCCTGCAGCTGATTGGCCAGCTCCCTGGTGAAAAGCACGTTGCACAGTTTGCTGTTACAGTAGGCCCGGATGTTCTGCAGGGTAGATTCCCCCGAGACTAAATCCTTCGTGGAGGCCAGCAGAGGGAAGTTGATGTTTCCACAGCGGTGCAGCAAAGCAGAAACGGTGACCACCCGGCTCGGCCCGCACTGCTTCAGCCTCTCCAGGAGCAGGTTGGTGAGCAGGAAGTGACCCAGGTGGTTCACCCCGAATGCCAGACCGAAGCCTTCCTCTGTCCGTCCTGAGGCTATCACACCTGGAACACAGCAGGGTTCAGGGTGTGGGTCAGAGATCRTGCTTCAGGAGCGGGAGGCTCTGTCCACACGGGAACTGCTTTTGTGAATACATCACTTTTTTTTTTACTGTTTCACCCAGAGTACACATCGAAACAGGATTCCAGGAGCCCCTAAGCCAGGTTGACTCTGATCCTCTTCAGGGGCCAAATTTTCTGATCAGACCTTGTGAAGGCCTGAAGTGGTCGTACAGTTTGGACATTTCTTTGATTTAAAGGGCCAATATTATGTGTTTCTCAGGWATATATTAAAATACTATACCATAATAAAGTATCTATGTCACCTTTAGCTGTTATTAAAATGCTGTTTTTATGCTTRAATAGAAAATAAACGTATCTTCTCATCACTTTCTCTTGTTCATAAAATGCCTAATAAGTGCTGAAATCACCTTATTTCCTTAAACTTCACATATCAAATATWTGTTTCACAAATCACACACTTGGTTTTAAACATTCTGCAATCAGTGTAGAATAATCTAGTCCAGGTTTGAAGTCTCTATGTGTTTTAGTTTTTAAATTAGAGCAGATTAAAGATGCTCAAGGTAGTGAAAACAGGTGGAATCGCCCTTTAGCCATTCCTGAAAAATTCAGTTTTTTTCTCATAAATTTATGAGTTTTTTTCTCATAAATTTCTGACTTTACCATGTCAGAAAATATCTAGTTTAAATGTTGCAAATTTCTGCCTTTAATTATGGAAATTTCTAGTTTTTTTTCTCGTAAATTTGTGACTTTTCAAAATAAGATACTGTAATTTCCTGGGGGGTTTTTCTTGAAAATTTCTGAAATTAATCTCAGAAATTCTGAGTATTTTTCTCGAAGATTTGCTCCTCCTTTTTTTTTCGTCTGCAACGTGGCCCTAATATGCCGTCGTAGAAGAGAGCTTCACTGAGTGAGCAGTAGCGTTAAGAGCAGCAGACAGTTTAAGTTTCACTTTCACTTTGCTTTGTTACTGCCGAGAGCCTGCAGGAGTCATGGGCAGGGGGTGTGGGGTGGGCGGTGGGGAGGTGTGCTCCGTGATGAGGAAGCTCTGCTTGGAGACACATCCCAGAGGCATTTTTGGTCCTCACCTGTCATTTTGCTCCTCAGCATGGCTTCCTAAAAACGCTGCAGGATTTCTCAAACATGCATGAATGAGTCAGAGCAAGGCTTTGGGCATGTTTTTTATGAGAGTATAACATTATAACATGATATAAAACTCAAAAAAAGTTGATTTTACATCATACTGCCCCTTTAAACACTCAATCAGTTCTGGTTGGACTTGTCTTTATGCTCAAATGATAACATTTCACACGCATAAGTGCATGCATGTGTTAAACTTTAGGTCAAAAGGAGGCATAAATTTCATCAGTTTAGTTGCTAAACTTGTATTTAGGGGTCGACCAATACATCGGCCGGACGATATTTTTGCCCGATATTTGCGTTTTTTCCTTATATCGGTATCGGCCGATGCGTCCGTCCGTTCGGCCGATCCATTGTTTGGGTCACTTGAGCCCATGTTGCCGCCCCTCCCTCGGGGAGAGAGCAGCTGCTAATGTTGAGAGACAGAGTGCTAACAACAATAAAGATGAGTTATGAACTGTAAATGTGTTTTAACTGTCTAATTTAGCTGTTTCTGTCCTCTGTGTCAGAATATGAGGGGAGAGAGAACAGCTGTGTTTAAGTTTCACTTTAAGAACAGGAGCGCCATGTTTTACTTTCACTTTGAAACCACACTGTAATCAGCGTGTCCGCGTTTTTTTTTTTTTTTTTTAATGCTGGAATTGCTCACAGGACGCATTGAAAAACCCCACTATTGTTCTCCCTGCTGGATTCAAATAAAAAGCTCTCGGTCTTTTCTCACGGTTACGTTAGAGCTGGGCGGTATGACCCAAATTTTATATCACGGTATTTTCAACATTTACACCGGTTTCACGGTATTTGACGTTATTTTTTTCCTCACAGCTTAGCTGATAATAAAATGTTCAAATGTTGCTTATTGACTTTTTTCTTTTACTGTACCTCTTTATCACTGTTTCCCTCCTCTTGTACGTCTTTTCTTCTTTGCCTGGCTGTTGACAGTAATCATGCATTTTGGTCCGATCAAGAAGGGTTGAGAAAAGATCATTATCGGGTCAATCGTCTGTTTATAAAACTTAAAAGGACGACTCACCTTGCACACCAGTCAACTCAGCTATAAAACTACTTGCCCCAGGCTTTTCACAATAGAAGCATGTTAATGTCTCCATGCAATAACGTCTCCATATAACGAAGCGGGTTAAAACTAACTGTGCACGTCACTGAAGAGTTGTTTACTATATTCAGCGATGGTGAAAACGGGATGTTGTTTTTTACGTCAGTCAATACAAGCAGCTGAAACACCACCCGCTGCCAGTTACTGCAAAGTTAGCATGTTAATGCGCTTTGCGATGCTTCGGGAAACGTGTCCCCCAGGAAACAGTTCACTGGCGGCCGCGACTAAACGTTCTACACGTGTTCAGGCTATTTAAACCGCTAAGTCCGGTATTCAGATAATTCATATCATAACAAAAATAAAAAATGGTTTTCGGTACAAAACGGTATACCGCCCAGCACTATGTTACGTTCATAAGAGCGGGTAAAGAGCTGCCGTCCACCATGTGAACCAGGCAGATGCTGCTCATCACGTTTGGTCTGACCGCAGTATAAAAGTAGTGATGCAGGTTTTCTTCGGTGTACATTTCAAACTGTGATCTAAAGTTAACAACTGGTTTAAATACATTTTTCGCCCAGTGTAAAAAAAATGGGTGCAGACTGAGGCAGAGATCCTGTGAGCGCTGCGTGTGTGAAGTCCTCACAAAGATAGCAAGATGTATGTGTGTGTCTCCTTTTTCTCTGTGTTCCCCTTTGTGCACGTTGCTGTTTTTGCATCAAAAATGCTGTGATATTAAAATATAGTCATTTTATTTTATGTAAAAAATATATTAATCTGATTAATATACAAATAAAAACAGAATATTTAGCACTCGATAAAATAAATCATGAATTTATTTATTTTTAAAGGGGACCTACTGTATTATGCAAAATTCACTTTTTAAAGCTTTTTTTACTCAACTT